GATTATTTGATTGTGAGAAATAGGAAACTAAGAAGAATTCAGGCGGGTGTCCCACCTCTGCTGAAGGTCAGTCCCACAGCACCATCAGGGAAGTCTTGCCTTTCCTCTGTCCACTAGAAATGGCCTTGTTATTGGTATTCCTCACATGGGCCTCTCAGGGGGACCATGCCTCTGTGCACAGCTGTGCAGACATACCTGCCCAGATCTAACTGCATGGACCCACTGCCTAGACATGGCTGAACAGAACCACCTTCCCAGAACACCTAGATTTACTGATTTGGAAATGGACTCAACTTCTCCACCAAGCTGCTCAGACCCAACTAAATGGACTCAGTGCCTGGGACTACCTGACAAGAATCATCCATCCTGCTCACTGGCCCAGACCTACCTTCCTAAACTCACCTGCCCAGCTCCCTGCCCGCCATCAGGCATACATCTGGGAGCAGTAGACTGGAGTGCGAGGCTGAGAGCCTGTGACCCTCACTCTGCCCGGCACCACCAGCTGCACCCTGCTTGTCCAAAACCAGGATTGAAGGTTGGTCCTCACTATCCCACTAGTACCTTTCCCCATATTTATTCAATCTGTATACTGTGCAAAGAACCCAAGAAGCTGGATTAAAATGGAAAGCATGGCATGAGGACTGGAGAAAACTCACTAACAACCTATGATATGTAGATGATACAACTTTGTTTGTTGAAAAGTGAAGAGTACTTAAAATACTTATTGATGAAGATCAAAGACCTTCAGTATGGGTTAGACATCAATGAAAAGAAAACAAAATTCCTCACCACTGGATCAATAAATAACATGATGATAAATGGAGAAAAGATTGAAGTTGTCAAAGACTGCATTTTGCTTGAATCTATAATCAACACCCATGGAAGCAGTGGTCAAGAAATCAGATGACATATTGCATTAGACAAACCTACTACGTAAGGCCTCTTTAAGTGTTCAAGAGCATAGATATCAATTTGTGGACTAGGGTGCACGTGACCCCAAGTCCTGGTATTTTAAGTAGCCTTATATGCATATGAAAGTTGGACAGTGAATAAGGAAGACCATAGAAGAATTGATGCACTTGAGCTATGATGTTTACAGAAGAATATTGAAAGTACTGTGGCCTGCCAGGAACAAGCAAATCTGTGTTGGAAGTATAGTCAAAATATGTCTTAGAAGCCAGGATGGTAAGACTCCATCTCTCTCCTTCTTCAGACATGTTATCAGGAGGGACCAGTCCCTGGAGAAGGCCATCATGCTGGGTAAAGTGAAGGGTCAGCAAAAACAGGAAGACCCCCAAGGAGATGGATTGGCACAACAATGGGCTCAAGTATAACAACAATTGTGAGACTGGTGCAGACCTGGGCAGTGTTTCATTCTGTTGTGCCTAAGATCATAGATTCACAATTGACTCAACATCACCTTGCTGATTTCTCATGATATGCTCCCAGGACTGTGCATCTGTTCCAAAGATCAGGGGGCATCCCAGAGGTATGGGTGAGAGCCCATGACCCAATGAGGGCTGGACAGAACAGTGCCCATCAGCATCTCCCCCCGCGGTCTACATCTGAGCGCCTCACTGGCCTTCTTCTTAAGAAGGCTCTTAGAGCATGACTGCTCCTGGAATAAACTGAACTTGCCCCAACCCATTTCTGCTTCTTCAAACTGTTATTAACTGAACACTTGTCACTGTTAGGTCCTTCAACTACTGTAGCGGAGGCAGCGCCCATGCTTGCTGGGCCCATGCTTCCTGAGTGGGGTTTCTAGGTTGTAGGTTGTTGTAGGTTGTGGGGAAGGTGCTTTCCCAGCTGTGAACGCCACATACCACACTCACTGAGAGGTTCCTGGGATGCTGACTCCTTCCCCTAGCATGTTGTCTGCATTGGGCTCTGGGACCTTAAATGGGACAGGGTGCCTGGGTGTTTTTCCTGGGATAAAAAATGCCTTTGCAGTAGTTGCAGCTGGAGCCTGATTCCACTGCTCTTGACCATGGGTCACTCTGAGGTGTAGGCCCCCCAGGCAGTTCTAGGCTGAAGGTGTTAGAGACAGGGACAGTCTCCAGGTTTAGCAGGTACTGGCCAAGGCACTTACCTGGGGATGGTCACCTACTGGTAGAGGGGTCCTGGGAGTGGAGAACCAATGACAGTGACCTTGACTAGTGTCCTAGAACAAACCAGAGAGTGGACAGGAGATGATTAGGGGTCAGAATCACATGGGGGGACGTGAGAAATGGTCAACAGACCAGCCCAACCCAGAACCCCCTCTGTACAGCAGAGAGTGGGCTCACTGACTGAGGCCCTGCAAAGAGGCAGAGTGGGTCCCAGAATGGATGGCTGGTCCCCATTCCCTGGCCCCCAGATGAGGCTATCTCATCCCCCCTGACTTTGGAGGTGGGTGAGCCAGCAGCTGAGGGAGGGGAGGGGAGAACCGCTGTCTGTATTTGTGTGTGCATCTGTGTGCTGTGTGCATATGTGTATGTGTGTAGTGTGCATGCATCTGTGCATGTATGCATTAGGAGTTTGCATATCATTGTGTGCTTGTTTATATGTGGGCATGTGCCTGCATGGTGTGTGTGTGCATATTGCATTGTGCTGTGTGTCCACAGGTGCACACACACATGGGTAGTGTGTTTACCTGTGCACATGCATGTGTGCGCATTAGCGTGTAAACATACATGTAGTGTATACATACATGTTGTAATTTCTAATGTATATATAAAAGGAGCTCTAGTAGTGTAGTGGTTACGAGTCGGGCTGCTAAGCTCAAGGTCAGTAGTTCAGAACTACCAGTGGTTCCATGGGAGAAAGATGAGGCTTTCTGCTTTCATAAAGATTAATAGCTGTGGAAACCCTGTGCAGGGTCACTATGAGTTGGAACCGACTTCATGGCACATCATCACTACCACCAACATGTTTATATAAACATGTTTGCACATATGTGATGTGTTTGTATGTGCATGTGGACTGTATGCATGCACAAGCACGTACGAGCACAGGTGCATGTATGCTACCTATTGTATCTGTGCTCAGATGTGACATGCATGTGTACATATAATCATGTATGATGTGCATCTGTATATGGCTACACATGTGTATATGTGTTTGTGCTATGCATTTATGTGAACATAAGCATGCACTGTGTGTATTTGTCTGTGTGTATATGGACAAATGTGAATGTGTGTGGGTCTTGTGTGTGTGTGTGTGTGTGTGTGCACATGTATGGTGTATGTGCATGCATGTGGTAGTGGTGAGATTTCAGTATGACTCCCTGGCTGGGGACAGGGGTACCTGTGATGTATTTTCTGCAACTAGGCTGGCTGTGTAAGCTGCTCTTTTTCCCACCATGTGAGTTTAGGGTGCTTGAGGGAGCATGAGTTCACACAGAGGTTCTGAAGCCGTAGATCATGGATGGGTGCAGAGATGGGTAGTCACAGTATTTTGCACGCTGAACCTCTTGGAGAAGGCAGTCCCCACAGGACTGTCCCAGACATTCTGCCGCTGAGGGGTTCTGTCTTGGCGAGGTTTTCAGCTGTAGCCCCATCCTCAGGAGGCTCCTACCTACACATCATACCAGGGAGAAGGGGCCCCGACCTGCATCCTTCCACCTCACTGTACTCGGACCTACTGGCCCTCCCAGTAGCTCTAATTGCAGACCCTGTGGCATGGACGTTGGAAAGAGCCCACCTCCCTGTCCTCCCCTCTTCAGGTGAGAGGGAGGACTTTCTCAGGGTTACTGGAAACTCATGGGGGGGGGATGTCTTCAGGGTCACTGGAAGATCGGTGGGGGTTTCCTCAGGGTCACTGAAAGGTCAGTGGGGGGTTTCCTCAGGGTCACTGGAAGGTCAGTGAGGGGACTTCCTCAGAGTCATTAGAAGATCAGGGGGAGTTCATGGGAAGGTTTATAGCTGGCAGTATGGCAACAAAGACTCCAGGACAGCCGTGGCTACTGCCAAGATGGGATGTGGACACTTGGTTTCTGAGGTTGTTCATGGAGCTGGTGCCCGGGGCCAGGAGCAGCCCCAAGAGTCCACAGACCAAACTCTGAAGCTTAGGGGAGTCTACAAGGCATGCTGTTCCCTCACAGCCCTGGGACCCCCAAGTCCCAAACCAGCTTCCCTGGGCACAAACCAGGTTCCAGGAAGACACAGCAGGGGAATGACAGTCTTAATGATCCCTGATGACAGGGAAGCCAGAATTGAAATTCTTTCTAGGATTTCAGACCCAATGAGAAACAGCTTCTCTCCCAAGGACTTCTCCTTTCTCTCTGTTTTTGAAGTTCTCTTAACCTTTTTCTCTTCTGTGATAACCTTCTGCAGATAAGGGACTTTCAAATTGTATAGCATTCTTTCCAGATGTTTTAGATCCACATATATGAAAACATGAAATTACCTCTTTGCTCTGCCAAAGATAAACCAGGACAGATGGGCTGAAGTTGCTAAAGAGCACAGCCCATTTCTTTTCTCTGCCACGGGAGGAGAGAAGGTATGGGTGTGTCTCTTCCTTGGTACTGGGAATCCCCTATGCAGACATATAGCTCAACATGGACACTACAGAAAGCACTCTCCAAGTCACCCAGTCTTGTTGTCCTGGGCAAGAGGCACGGGGCACACTGTCTGAATTGGGATTTCATTAGAACAGAGCCAGTTAACCTTTGGTACGAATCCCAGGCCCTTGGTGACCTCGTGGAGTCACTTGGCTTGACTGAACTCTGGTTTCCTTACTTTTACAATGGAAGTCGTCATAGGTCTACCTGTAGTCCAATGGAGGTCATCATTGATCTACCTGTAGGCCAATGGAGGTCATTAATGGCCTACATGTAGTCAGTTGAGATGAACTACAAGACAGACCTGTGAAGCACCTCACTGTCACTCTGATTTTCGATAAATACTCTTTGCAATGTGTGGCTCTCAGTCCTGGGAGTTTCTTTGACCCAGGGCATAAGTAAGCAGTTTTGTAACTTAGTGTCTTTGCAATAGATTGAGATGTGCTTTTAATTAAAACAGGTGTGTGGTCTGGACAGGAGATGACCGGGTCTTCTTCTTCAACCCAACCATGCAGCTCTCTGTCTGGGAGAAGCCACTGGACCTGAAGAACCGTGGAGACCTCAACAAGATCATCGAAGACCCTCCCCACAAGCGCAAGCTAGAGGCATCAACAAGTAACAACCGCTTGGCTAGTTTGCCTCCTTCTTGAAGTGGTCAGAATCTTGGGTGGTGCCAATTGTAAATGTGTTCAGCTACTAACCGAACACTTGGAGGTTCAAGTACACCCAGGGGCCCTTGGAAGAACAGCTTAGGGATCTCCTTCTGAGAACCCTGTGGAGCACAGCTCTTCTCTAACACACAAGGGGTCTCCTGAGTCAGGCACACCCATTAGCAACAGATTTGGTTTGGGTTTGGCATGAGTGTTTGATGTGCATGTTTATGGAGTCCGGGTATAGTGCTGTGGGCTAATGTGCTGGACTGCAAAGTCAGTTTGATCTGCAAGGTGGGAGGTTCAAGCTCACCAGCCACTCCTTCGGAAACCCTATACAGGATCACTGTGGGTCAGAATCAACACCACGGCACTTAACAGCAACAAGCACACGTGTTTATGGAGGGGAATGGCCCTGGAGGATCTCCAGGGCTGCCATTTTTACAGAAGCAGACTGCTTCTTTCCATTTTCTCCAGTGGAGCCTTGGTGGGTTAGAACTGTCAACTTTTAGGCTAGCAACTGAGTGCTTAACCATAGCACCACCAGGGCTATCTGTTATTTTTGTTAAGTGCCATCCAGTCGGTTCCGACTCATAGTGACCCTGTATAGGGTTTCCAAGGAGCAGCTGGTGAGTTTGAACCACCGACTTTGGCTCTAACTGACCTTGCAGTCCAGTGCTTTATGAAATGAAGGTAGCTTTTTCCTAATTAGGTTGGAAACCAATTTTTTTTTAATGTTTTATTGTGAATTATGTGATAGTTTACATGGGAGAACATTAGCTTTACATTCATCCTATCATATATCGTTTCATTGCCATGGTTACAGTCCCCTCCATGCATCATCAACCAACCAAAGGGTACACCCTGCAAGCCTGCCTTCCTGTCATCAGCACCCTTCCTCCCAGTTGTCAGCACACAGGCCCTGTCCCTCTCTGGGTCTAAAGTCCCCAGCTGCTCCATTTCTCCATGTCATCATCTCTGCCTCCATCTTTGGCATCACTGCTTCTGTGGGTAGGGTCCCGCTCTCCATTCTTCTCCCTTGATGATCACAGGGACCTCTGCTCCTAGACTACAAAGTCAATCACTCCCCTCCTTTTACTACAGAACATCTACATTACATTTCCAACCCTCATAGTCAGTCCTAATAACAATTATTCACTATTGTATCACAAGAGACCTATCCTCATCTCCTTTCATCAGCCCCACCCAGAGAGATTGGATACTACTCAGTGGAGAGTCTGCCTTCCTCTGCGCCCTCTGGATCTAGGATCCCTATTGAAAGCTTGTAAGCCAGTCTGCCTCCCCCCCCCCCATTTTGGGTAGCCAATGTCCAAGTTGCCCATCCCTGCCTACTCTGTGTATGGAGGGGGTGGGAATGATCCTTGCTGTAAAGATTTGTTCCCTCTTTTGAGCTACTGCATCCATAGGTGTAGGTCAAGTTCATCAAATTGTATCAGATAACTCTTTTTTTCCTCTTCTTTCTTCTATTTGAGTTCTGATCATCCAGTCATTGAAGCCAGGTCAAGTGGGTATTATCTGCAAGTGTGGATGTTCTTATGCATGTGCCCTCTCTTATCAGCTGGACACTTTACTCTCCACTCTAGTCCTCTGTGGCTATGTCACAGACTCTGGGCCCAAGAGTCCCCAGGTCTTGCCACACTGCTGGCCAGCCAGGTCTCCATCTAGGTTCACAGGAGTCTATTTAGTGTTGTAGGGCTTACCTCACAGCTTCATTGCTGTTTTTCCCTCACTTCCCCTTATCAGTGACAAACGTGGTCACCAATTAGAGCATGTATTCCCATTGAGTTTTAGTCTTGGAAAGGGGTTTTCCCTGAGGGGACCTCACCACTTGGCTTGATATCTCCTGGGCAAGCAACTTGCTTGTTCTTGTAGTAATCATTCGGACTGCCTATATTGTTTTGTATTTTTCCTGTCAGTCTTTCTTTCAAGAAGTATCTTCTGTTCTTCTAGCCACTCCAAGCTGGTCTGCTTGTCCTTTCAAGTGGAAATTTCCCACCTCAGAAGATTTTGGATGGGGTTCAGGATGGAAAACGACTTTTAAGGAGCCCTGTTTATTGGGCCATTTGATGGAAGACCATGGATCCTTCTGAGGGCTTGGCCTCTCTTTCCACCTTACATCCAAGAAGGCCCTTGGTTCTCCCAGCCACCCAAACTTCCACTTCCATCATCACTATTGCCCAACATTATCCAGAATTTTAATGTCGTTCCATAGGTCTTCAGAACTCTACTTTCGAGACCAGATGAACATAGACAAGGGCTGCTTCCTCCTACGGCCCACTTTCACTGTCGCTCTTCAAGACCTAGTTGATAAACTGCTTTGCTCAGATGGAGGCTTTGATTAAACGTGTGTGGACACAGTGGGGGATGTTTCCTGTGCAGAGGCAGGGAGGAAGCTGTCACTGCCTCTGTCCTTGTTCATCATGTTCCACAAAGAGTCACAGAGAACTCCTTAGCGTTTTCAGAAAGGATCCTTTCCGATTATATCTAATACATTTTTTATTAGCTGCTGTGTTGGGAAAGCCCATCTCCCTGAACATGAGTGTTAAAAATAGCTTAGACGACACGGAGATACAGAAAACATCGTTCTCTGCCAGCCTGGGGTGCTGAGATGCTGACTGCCTGTCCCACCCCCAAACTCAGGCTCCTGACCCTGCATGAGGACCTGTGTTTTATTTTTGAGGGGTATTTTAATGTACTGGTGATGCTGTTTTTAATCCCATACCACATAGGGCTGTTAGTCAAGTCCAAGGCATTCAGTTGGACCCTTCGTTGGATTTTTAAGGATCCCTTATGGCATAGTAAGTTTAGTACTGAGCTGCTAACCACAAGGTCAGTGGTTCGAATCCACCAGCTGCCCCTTGAAAAAAAAAAGATGTGACTGTTGCCATAAAGATTAGTCTTTAAAACCCAAAGGAGCAGTTCTACTCTGTCCTTTTGGGTCACTCTGAGTGGGAACTAACTTGATGCACTGGGTTTGGTTTGGGGTGTGCTTTAGGTTGTTGTTGTTGGATGTCACCTACTCTGATTGTAGGGCCCCGCGTGACAGAGTAGAACAGCCCTGTTAGGTTTCCTTGACGGTCACCTTTACAGGAGCAAAGTCCCACAGACTGGTGGGTTCGAACTGATATCTTTCTGGTTAGCAACTGAGAGAGTAAGCCTGGTGCCACCAGAATCCCTTAGTGATGCAGGGTTAAAGGTTACTCCTGAAAAGGTGGTGTGTTCTTTTGAGATTAAGAGATGACAAGGTTAAGATGTTTATTTCCCTTAAGATCACAGACAACAGTTTCCAGAGAGGATCTGATGCCAAAAAGAAACTTGTTCATGTTCTCCTGCATAGTAAACTGAATCTTAAGAAAGCAAAGCTGCATTCAGAGATGATGAGAATTAGATTTATAAATTTTGTTTCCTCCTGTGATCAAGCAGCATCCATTTTTAAAAGGGATATTTTATATGCTACAACAATGCTTAAAAAAATTCATTATGGAAAATGATTCCAGAAGGCACTTGTTCTTGGATAGGAGGAGTGAGGGCTACTTATAAAGACCAGCTGATCTTCCAGGACCCCAGGAGAAATCCCAGGGCTCCTCTGTACCCTTTATCATAACAAGGGTTATATTGCTTGTTAAAGGCCCTAATGCAAGCAGTTTCCTTGCTACAGTCTTTAGTCTACATTCCTGTAGGTGATTGGGTACTGTTTCTTTCTTTCTTTTTTTTTTTTTATCCCCTTCAAAGAGTTGGTAGGAATGAAAAAGAAATGAACTCATTAAAAGTCACTGCACAGGTGCTCTCTAGTTTAAGTGAAAATTGTTAGGGCTGACCAAATCAGCCCAGGTATGAAAAATAACAGACAGGTGTTCTCGGAGTGCTCACCTGGTCACCTGCTGATTTAAATTCTTTGAGGACCCAGAAGATCTGGACTAGCAGGTCCTCCCTGGATGTGCAGTCTGAGTCTACTAACAGAAACCCTAATTTATGCTTACAAAGAGAATGCACTGAGCTGTAAATGTCAGAGCAATACACCCTGAAATTCCAGGTTCCCACGAACCTGTGGTTCTCATTAGCACTGTTAGGGTGGGCCTAAGTACCTAGACAGATAGGTAAATGCAAAATCACATATAATTCTCTCCATATTTTTAATCTTGCCTCCTTTGATAATGGCCAAGTAGAAGGTCAGCAACAAGGAGGAAGACCCTCAATGAGGTGACAGACTGGCTGCAACAATGGCTTCAAACATAACGACAGTTGTGGGGACGGCACGGGTCCCTATGAGTCAGAAAGGACTGCGTGGCACCTAGAAACACGTTATGAAGAGAGGAAGAGAACTCCCCTAAACCAGGTTGTTTGTTTCAGGTTTTTTTCCCCTCCTCTGTCTCTTAAGAATATGCAAATTTAATCAAATCTCCACTTCCGGTTGTCAAACAGAATTGATATTTAAGTGCAGATCCTCTCATTTCCTACTGTCTACCCAGAGAACATCACAGCATAGCAATTAGGGTAGGAGGCATTTATGAAGGATTAATTAATGATTAGGAGCCCAGAGTTGATGACCTCCAGCACCCACAATGGCACTTCTCTTGGCTGGTGATTCATCAAAGCTCTGCAAATGATTTGACCCTAATTACGACAAGAGCAAGCTCTAGAGGAGATTGTTTCCACAGAGAATCTTGTTCTCCCGTGGTCATCCCGTGAGTGTTATCTCTGTGGAGTGATATTTCCAGTGAAAAATTAGACAAGGATGCATTCTACTGTATACTCATTATTTTTCATGAGGCAAATGAGAGAAATCAATTGTGTAAGCCAGCTCCCGCTGAGAACTGCTGTTAGGGATTCGTGTGTGTGTGCGTGTGTGTGTGTGTTTGTGTGTGTGTGTGTGTGCACGTTTCATGTGCATAAGGCTTGGAAACAGAGCTAATAGGGTTAGGCAGCTTACTGGTGCAGGCCTCA